TAATCCATTCAACACTCTAAGTTTCTCACTGAAACTTTCATCATAAAAGAAAGCAGGAAAACAAGCTGCAACATGGATACTACGATGCAAATGTTTATCCCATCGAGCCTTAATAATTTCAGTGTAAGGCTTATACACACTTTTTCTTTTTACGAACATCTGTTTGATACCATTATTTGCCCTTTGCATTCCTTCATACACATACCCTAAAGACGGTTTTTCGTCTGCATCAACAATTCGCAATAGTCTAACAAGAGGTCCTGCAAGCTTAACCGTAACTTGGCATTCTCGCCAAAATTTAGCATTCAATATGGTTTCACAAACTTTTTTTCCATTAACACTTTTAGCTAATCTATGACCAGTAAAGAGTTTATCAACCACCAAAGCTTGCAAGTCCTCTTTATGATCACAAATGCTTTTTAAAGTAATAAAGACCGTAGCAAATCGAGTAACTCCAGGACGTACTATCTCCTTCCAACCAGGCCTTTTTCTAAGCCACGTCAAAAGTATCATATGATTATACACAAAGACAGTAATCTTGGAAGCACGAGAAGTAAGTTGGCTTATATGAGGTAATGAAGAGATGTCTTTCAATATCAGATTCAAACAATGTGCTGCACATGGGGACCAAAAAATAATTTCATACTTATCGTGAATCAACTTTCCAGCTGCTACATAATTTGTTGCATTATCAGTCAATATATGCACAATATTTGCAGGCCCAATCCATTCAATAACATCAACAAACAAATTGAACAGAATTTTTGCATCTTTCACCATGTCTGAAGCATCAACAGATTTAATGAATGTCATACCTGCGAGACAATATACCAGGAAGTTAATCAAAGTTCTTTGCCTCTGATCACTCCAACCATCTGCCATAAGTGTGCATCCAGAGCTATTCCAATTGTTTCGATAACTTTCAACTAGAAGCTCACACTCTTTTTTGCAATCTCCCAACAAGTTCACCCTAACATCATTATATGAAGGACTTATTAATCCAGGTCCAATGGCAGCAATTGCATCTAAAGCTGGCTGAAAATAACACGACTGGGTCGCATTAAATGGAATGCAATTGGCGTAGAACCATCGAGCAAGAGCCATGTTAGCATTTTTCACCGCCTCTTTGGTCGCAAACACACTTGTAAAGCCTGGTTGAGATCCTGGAGTTGTCCTCGGCGCAAAATATCTATCCACAGGACCAACGATGACTTTTCTCTTCCCTTTACCAGTAGCCGGAGCAGGCTCGTGTACTTCTCGCACTTCTTCAGGTGCATTTGTTGTGCTCCCTTCCTCATAATCACCATAATTACGATCATCTTTTTTTTTGCTTTACTTCATTCAAGTGTGCTGCCATCTGAGGTTTAACATCATGCGTCACTTCCTTACACAGAGCTATTTCGCCATTGTTCCCAGCTAAATGATGTTTCATTCGATGAATTCCTCCACCATTGAATTGTTTCTTACAGAACAAACAAGTGTATGTGGACTTCCCATTCTCACAAATTAAACTGACAAACTCCCAAGAAGGATCAGATTTTCCACGGCTAGATTGTGTTGATAGCATTTCATTATTTGAACCCTCCATACCTGTGAGCCTGTGATGGAGAGCCTGTGACGGTGACGGAGAGCTGGTCGGTCGGACACTCAGACCACGAGAGTTGTTGGATACAATCTTGCCATGAATAGGGGCGAACGACAGCACTCTAGTTGGACGAGAGAACAACGAACAACGAACAGATAACAGGGTTAACTTGCCGCGACGAGGTGCGACTAACTTGCTGTGACCGGAGAAAATGGTAGGAGTCGGAGAAAATGGTAGGAGTCGCGAAGTGTTCACGAACAGAAGAAATAAGGTACTGTCGGAGTTGTAGAGGTTTTCACGAACGAAGATGTGACCGCACGGCGAGATTCAGACGGGCACTAATCGGAGTTGCTGCCGATGATGTAGGCGATGGAGGCGGAGAGGTAGAGATAGGGGTTTTTTTGCGTTTTGTTTGGGAATTTTTGTTTTCAGAGGAGTCTGACTTTTTTTATTTCTCACTCTTTACTCTTTAGTTACTTTAATGTTTATTCTTTTTCTTTTTTTCTAATTTTTTTTTAATTTATTAAGATATATATATATATATATATATATATATATTAATATTGGGCTGTTAAATTTTCGAAACCGTTGGACCGGCCCAACTGGTACCGGTTCATCGGTTGTACTGATTTTGAACCGGTTTGAACGGTTCGAGGCCGGTTCTTGATCCCAGCTGTTTAAACATTCAAATCGGACCGGAACTAGGTCCGGTTCCCAGTCGAGCCGATCGAACCGGCCGGTCCAGTCTGGTTTTGATAACATTGGGTGAAATAGAGAGTCGACCTCGATTTGTAGGGTGTTTGAGGTCAACTTCAGGCTCCTCATATGATGGGAGTTGTCATTGATCTGTTTATTCCTTACTAATGTCGAGTCTCTGAGACGAGGTCCTATACAAACTATTTCCTCAGCTCGACTAGAATTAGGTAACTCATCTTCATATTCGGTGGAGCCACTATAACCAATATATCCAAGTATGGTTATATTAATATAAAACAAGTAAATCATACGATGCCATTTCATATGTAAGTAAATGTGCAACTTTTCTAAAAATATTTTAAAATTTAACTTAAAGAAATCTTTTTTCTATTTTTTTTAAATTTACGCATAAATATTTCGACTACCACTCATCTAATCTATATTTTTTAACCAACTTAGATAACGAAACAATTTACAATTTGAAACTGTTTGAAAAAAATTCAAGTAGAGTTAATCACTACAGTAATAGGCGTGTGGAGGTGTTTGGCGTGCTGGCTGCTGCTAAATCTTTTGAAAAAGGGAAATTTACATATATAGACTCCATATAATAAATATTTACATATTTACGGGCAATATAAACTTTCATCACATTGTGATTTTAATGTAATCTTTTTTTCATATATACGATATAAGTTTCTCGCACCTGCCATATCTTTATCTCTCTCCATATTAAACATGCATTAATTTAGGGATATGGGATTTCTCACATGTTCATAATTTTCTCTCTCTCTCTCTCTCTCTCTCTCTCTCTCTCTCTCTCTCTCCATATTAAACACGCATTAATTTAGGGATATGAGATTTCTCACATGCTAATAATTTTATCTCTCTCCATATTAAACATGCATTAATTTAGAGCTAAATAATTGCAAACAAAGAAAGAAAAATAAAAAAAAATAACAAATCAGATTTCAAAGTTTCAAACGGTTAATCGACATCTTGAATTCGAGAAAAAAATCGTCCAACACCCAAATATATATTTAGATATATACTGTATATATACAATATATAAACATAATCATACAGTACTCTAATGTTAACCGTATAGTTATACATAAAATAAACAAGATATAAACAATTCTGAAATGAGATAAAACATAATACACAATTTCGAAGGATTGCAAAATCCAAATCATATATAATTATACATAAGATAAACAACATAACAGTCTCGTCGTCAAGCCGCGGATATGGGCCAAGTCTTCAACTGTGTAGCCGCGTATGGGTCAAATAAAGAAGATGATATTTTTTGGTTTTTGGTGAAAAGATATGGTGAAACAAAAGAAAGAAGACGATATTCATCCTCATTTTTTATTTTGGATTGTCGATCGGAGGATTTTCGATTAGTAAACCAAAAAAAAAAAACGATCGGAGCTTATCAAATATTGCTCCTAAAGTAAACTTTTTTTTGTTAAAATCATCAAGGGAATATGTTTTTTGTGTGTGTGTGTGTTTATGTTTGGTTTTGTTTCTTTGTTTTCATATTACATGAGTTGCAGTTTAAACCACAAAGTATATTGCATAATAACCACCAAATATACGTTCAGATATATTGTATATATACATCATATAAACATGGTCTGACAGTTCTCTATATTAACCGTGTAGTTATACATAAGATATACAACATATAAACAATTCTGAAACGGGATAAAACATAGTACACAATTTTGAATGACTGCAAAATCCAAATAAAATTTAGTTATTCAGAAGATAAACAACATATAAACAACTATGAAACGGGATAAACATAATACACCTTGACATTAAAATAACATGAGATTCTAAAAATATATGACATATCTAAACAACATTAACTTAAAAATACATAAACTTCAACCGGTGCTACTGATGGCCGAGTTTCCGCCAACCGCACAACTTTCACACCGCTACTGGGTCGAGCAACCGCGCACTCATGTCAGGCAAGCATCAACCTTTGAGAGCCTCCGTCAGTGCAGACCTCATGCGTTGCGCTACCGCTCGTAGTCCGACCGAACTGGACCTTCATAGATCCAAAAATGAAAGGTAATTTCTAAAAAAGAGGAGATGAGGAGAGAGAGAGAGAGAGAGAGAGA